GAACAAAAAAACATATGTTGCATAGTAACATATTTTAAGGTATAAACTTACGTATTTTTCTTTTGCAGCACATTATGATGAAATTTCTCGACGTTATTCGTTGTCGTTAGGAACACAAGCAAGATTTACATTAAAATGTAACTATAATTCTCATTCATTGAGTTGCTAGATGTAAAGCATGTTGAAATGATTGACAGAACTGCAACATAACCACACAAATCGATCATACGTAGACATTATGAATATATTGCATCAATATTATTTTCATCATGGAAGGATATTTTCATATAAAATATAAATAATATTAGAAAAATACGTAAGTTTATACCTTAAAATATGTTACTATGCAACATATGTTTTTTTGTTCATTTCTGAAAACATAATAATAGAATATTGAATAGAAGAAAGAAATTGATCAAAATAAAATTTCATCCGAAAGAAGCAAGAAGCCAAATTAAGAATTTTAGTTGCAATCAAAATCAATAACAATTCATTCACTTGTAAAAAAAAAAAGAATTTTTTTTTCTGGTTGAATTCATTGTCGACTGTATGAATCATAATTATTTGTTGCCTAGAATCCACTTTTTTTTCCTTTTGTCAAAAAAAATCAAACATTTGAAAAATAAAATGAATTTAACTCAATTACGGCATATTTCAATATTAGTTTAGTACAAATACTGCTAGACGTATAGAGAGTGCAATGTATTGATGACTGATTCATATGCCTTAAGCTGCAAATGATCATAATTACTTTTTCATCTAGAAAGGAAATAGTTAACGAATATTAATAGTATAAAAGTGATATATAAACAGTTCAGTCATGAAAACTAACCTGAAGGTAAGGAAGTCCTTCTTTCACTTGTTCGATGTCTTATGAAACTTGTTTATGAAAGATTAACTACTTGAAAAGATGTATGAAAAAAAAAACTAATGATGTCAGTTGTTAATCAATAGATCATTTTCGTTTAATAGAAAATTCATATTATATGATAATTAATAATAATATCTTTGCTATTTGTGAGATCTTAATTTCACTTATACTTTATTTATATATTCAATCTTCTTCGCAGTAATATAACGAATATATATATAGGGTGATAATATGGGAAAAAACTTATAGATTATAATGAAGAAAACAACATTCGTAAAACAGAGTTAAAGAGGGGAGATCAGAAGGGAAAGCAGAAGTCCACCACATATAACATTTATGACAGAAAAGGAAAAGTCGTTAACGCGAGACTAACAATAAGAGAGAAGAAGAAGAACAAGTGCATAATGTAATTCTATAGATAAAGAGGAGAAAATCCTTATGACCACATCTGAAGAAAATGCAGGTTATAACACGATTGAAATTACTTTTTAGTTCTATCTTAATTTAGATCTTCCTTTTTTATATATTTAAGCATATATAACATGTATCCAATATATGAAATTACTCATTCATCATCAACTACAGATCTACATCAACAACAAGAAATACCCGTACAAATCAAATTTTCTATTTGGAATACATTTAAACATCATATTCCACGTTTTATTATAACCATTATTGTCGATGTCATTCTTCCACTTGCTATATACATATCATTTCAAAAATATATGAAACCTGTTTATGCACTTTTAGCTGGTAGTAGTCCACCTTTATTTATGGTTATATTCAAAGCGATTTGGTTACGTACATTTGATGCACTTGGATTTCTTGTCTTTTTTACTTTTTCTATTACAGCTATCGTTGCTATTGTATCACGTAATCCTATTATACTTTTATTAGAAAAATCATTACTTACCGGTATTTTATCAATTATTTTTGGAATAACATTAATACCATTTCAATGTTGTAAACATTGGTGTCGTTGGCGACCATTAGCTTATTATTTTTATCAAGATTTAGTACCAACGAAACGAAAAGATATTGGATTACCTGACGGTATATTCAATGATGATGATGAACAGATAGATAATAATTATGCTAAACTTAAAGAAGAAGTTTCAATAGAAAAATTATCTGATAAACAAGAAGTTGCTCAAGTATATGAATGGCTTCATCTGCATTGTTCATCATTTCGTAATTCATGTTATTTCATAACAAGTGTTTGGTCAATGGGTTATCTTTTAGAATTTCTTACTCGAGTTATTCTTATTTTAGCACGTTTATCAATTAATAAAATCGTTATTTATGGACATATTATACTTAGTACAATAACAGTTTTAATGATTCTTTTGACAGTTATTTGTATAACTATTGAAAGAAAATTTACATTAGCATTTATTGAACGATGGAGATTACAAACTTTAAATATACAACAATTTCAACCGAGAACATTATCAGAAATGTCATCTTCATTAGTTGTAGCTAGAAGTGATTCAAGTTGTATTTTGAGTGTCACTGCATGAAGATTTGTTTTCATATTTCATGAGATTAATATTTTTCAAATAAAATGAATGATGTGATAATTTAGTCTAATTAAATGCATAATGCGAAGCGGAACATTTCTACTACTCAGTCACGAACACACTCTGCCTCTATACTTTGCTTGTTTATAGCTGTAATAAAATCTGCACTTTGTGTCGCGATGATTCAAAGGTCGGAGAGTAGTTAGATCGAATAATAAACGAAACCTAAATTATTAGGAGTACACATAAATATAATTGTTTTAATTTTCTTTCTAATAGATAAAATCTGTCATACATTGTCAAAGAGAATTTAGGAGTTGCATGCATATGATTGATTGATTGTGCATTTTTTTCAGTTTCGTAGACTTGAAATTTCTTTATATTATTACCAGTAAGAACATATATTCAATTTAAATAATTCAATAAAATGATATTCACTATTCAATAACAAGGAGAAGTGTAGACGTGGGGTGCAAAAATCTTTACTTCATCACATCTCATAGCCAGTTACTCACCCATACCCAGTGAGCCTACGCGAATATTGATATATGCAAAAGATTTGAATTATTTCGATGCTTCATAACTGAGCTTTGAACTGAAACCAATCGAAAAATCTCGTATCCATTGGAGCGTAAAAATTGCCTTATGCACCTTTATCTTTTAAATAAAAATCTAGGGTTTTCGTTTATTACTTTCGTAGCTTCTGTATAATTTCAAGTCATTTTTTCGTATGCAATGGATAAAGCTTTTCAAATTTTATACGAACATGTAAGAATCATTGACAGAATTTACCATTGAAAAACAAATAAACTGAACTAAACAACAAACATAGTACATTGTTATCGGAAACGCTGTCATTTCTGACATGTAAAATACTTTGTAAAGGCGTTATTTTAATGGATACTGATTATATAATTATCAAAAATAATCTTCCTTTGAAAGGAAGAAAAGGCTGGAAAAAAAAACTACTGCGTTGAGTCATTAACGTTGTCTATATAACACTTCTATAGTTTTCTTGTCAATTCTGATGACTCATTCAAGCTAATGATGTCTTGTTGTTGTTGTGTAGATAGAAAACTATTTGTTACTATCGATGACTTTCGCTGTTGCATGATTGAGGAAAAACTACAAACATTCGACATCCCAATCAGATGTGCACACGAAAACTTATACATTTTCTCATGTCTGTTGTTTTTTAGAAGATTTCTCGATTAGTCATTATTCGAAAATGAACTGCCTCGAAACGTCTGATCGAGATTCAATCGACTCACAACGGCTAGATCTTAAGATCTTACTGTTTGAATCTCCAACAATAAGTGTTACTAATTTGAATTAAACGAAACAAAGTAGTATTTTTTCGAATCTTCAGAAAAAAGTAATCGAGGTGTCGAAAAATAGATTCTAGCCACATTTTTAGAATGTGTCGCAAAGTATAAGGCATGAGACACGTTTTATCTAAGTGTTTAAATATCGTTTTCAGTTTTAACACATGGTCACATCAATTTCATCTTCATGATGATGTTGCTTCCGTCACAGAAGAGAGCAGTCGGAATATTCCAACATGTAGAAACAAGCACAATAATAGCAAGTAGCGCGACGCTAGCGTCGCTAACCCTCTACTGAAGGAACATGGTCGCGTTAAACACAACAACTAGATGTGCCTGCCTGAGAAATTTTGTGTAGTGATTGTGTGCGAGACATTGTAACGTGAGAGAGAAACGATGAGCATGCAAAAAGTAGAAAATCTGTTGACATATATCATCAAGAAATATGTGCTTAAGTACTATCTGTCTATACTGCATAACTAGACCGAGTTTGAGTTTTTTCCACCAGATCAACATTGGGGAATTCTGACAGAGCGTTTGATCGGCTGAATAACAGAATCACGAAAAATAGACACTTACGACAGCTATCATCCTAATGTTTTATGTCACTAGCGATACCACTCAAGATATTCATGAGACTAGTCACTTAACATAAATCTACATGAATACATATAATTATGTCAGTTTACATGTACAGAGCCAGAAAAATCTAACACTTATTCCGTTTCATGAAATATTCCATCAATCAAGAATATCGAAATAGATTAAGAGATTGTTGTCTCAATTTAAAACTCAAATGTTTTACACCTGCTACGCGTTGGTTACTCAATGTTGCTTTGGAAAAACTTTCAACTTTCCGCTACTGTTAGGCATTGTTTCAACCTTTTCCACTCAACTAGTAAGTGATCATGATATTGGTCTTCATAGACTGTAGTGCAAATTTAAACAAACGTCCATAGTGAGCGACTAGTCATTCGTCGGCGCCACTCACGGTTTGCTGCTTCCAAATTAAAGTTGATTTATACTCCTCATCGTCCTGTTTTAGCTAGGAACTGCATGATTCAACTTTCGCTCAATTAGCAAAAATGTCTGATTAAAATCAAAGACGTTTTCAAAAAAAACTGCAAATCAACAGTTGCCAGGTTTATCTTCACTGGAATTTAGCTGCACCTTTCAATAACTTCGTGACCACTTTCAGATAAATGTCACAAGTTTGCTGAGTATATAGAAAATGTGAGAACAGCTGTAAAGTGACGGAAAAAAGTTTAAGGCACCTTTCTTCTTCATTTTTTCTGTCAAAGACCACTTGCAATGGATGTCCAAATAGCGATTTTGATAGCTCTCGGAACGAGCTACAAAGCTATCATATCAAAAACATCAACGGTGAACCGGTTCAGTTTTTATGACAGAAATTGTTTTTGTCTGCCGAAAAAGACTTTAAGGTACTTTTTGTGTTTTATCGATTTTGCCGCTGTCGAAAGATAGAAAACGTTTCAAAAATATGTCGTTGGATCGATAATTGAACGGACTACATTTCGATATAAATGTTTTCGAAAAACAATTGGCTATAATAATTACTAATTAATTAACTATTAGTTATTATTGATCATTATTAATCAACAGTGATAGAAAACTTTTTGCCGTAATTTTCTGTTTTGAAGGACACCATAAGAAAGGGCATTGAAAACCAAACAAAACTGTGTGCTTTTGGACCTAGCGGCTTTTTTTTACAATGTGTTATTACTGTGATACAGCGCGTTGAAAGTTGTTTCGCAAAAACAAGGCAAAAAGTAGCTTCAAATCGCAGCTGAAATTACCGATACAAATTGGAAATATTTTCCAACTTCAAGATTGCGCCGTAACAAAAGCCGATAGGTCTCGTTCGATAGAAAAAACTCTGCTCTACAAAATGTCCTGTTTTTGAGAGTTTTGAAACTTCTGATTAAAACTGAATTTTCTCAATTATTAATACAGTATTAATTAACTTCTAAAAGAGTGCTTAAAGAATCCCATTAAGATCGCTTGTTGCAAATCCAAAAGCACACAGTTTTGTTTAGTTTTCAATGCCCTTTTTTATGGTATCCTTCAAAATAGAAAATTATGACAAGAGTTTTCTATAACTGTTAATTAATAATGATCAACAATAATTAATAGTTAATTAATTATTTACACCAAAATGTAGTCCGTTCAATTATCGATCCAATGATATATATTTGAAACATTTTCTATCTGTCGATAGCGGCAAATGGATAAAACACAAAAAGTACCTTAAAGCTTCTTTCGACAGACAAAAACAATTTCTGTCATAAAAACTGAACCGGTTCACCGTTGATGTTTTCGATATGATAGATTAATAGCTCGTTCCGAGAGCTATCAAAAGCGCTATTTGGACATCCATTGCAAGTGGTCTTTGACAGAAAAAACGAAGAAAAAAGGTGCCTTAAACTTTTTTCCGCCACTTTATGCATGCTGGATAAGAATTCTAATTGATATTTCTTAACAGTCTTATTGAGCTAAAAAGATGCGGCTACACTTGAGGCAAACCAGTAATTTTCGTGTGAACTATTTCATGTCTTAAACTTTTCAGTCTATCTGGAACCTTGTGGTTGTGTTAACACCTGTCGTGAGTGGTATCTTACTGCAGTATTCTTCAAAACCTAGTCTTATGCAAAATTGTTCTCAATTAAACAGCACTTATATTGGCAGCGGGCGGCAAGCCATTCGTCGATGTGCCTCCGGGACGCCACTCACGACTCCTCTTCAAACATAGACTATTGCTAGCTCAAGAAAAGCGCAGAAACATATGTTTAGGAACATACTTCTCATCTCGTTTTTACAGGCAACATTTGAATGTCGTTCAGAGATGTGCTAGTCACTCAGAGGTAAGGCTTGATAAAAAAAAATTGGAGGACACCATTCAAAAGCTCTTTCAATGTGGATTGTGAGTAAGTATTCTTTATTATTGTAAAAACTGTTTTACTGGACGAAAAATCGAGAGAGACTTTAAGGGTGTTATAAATATGATATGACTCATTCTATGATTAAATGTCGGTGAATATTTCTGAGTATTGATTCTTCTAGCAATGTCTTCTCATCAGCTGAACATCCCATAAAATAATCATAAATCAAAAATGGAGATCACCTATCGAGAGGGATCATTTTGGATCTGTTTTAAGTCTCAATTGGTCCTACTGATCGGCAAAATATCACTTCGATAGATGAATGGATCAACTTTATGAGAATACTCTATCGAGATCGTGCTATACTTCTTATGTCAGTACCATGAAGCATCGACTGGAATATTCGAAATTACTACAATGAACAAAGTACTTTTTGTAACTTAGTCTTTAAGAAAAGGACTGTGTAAGAATTCTTTCATGTCGAGAATTATGTCTAACATCTGAAATGTTAAGCTTTCAAAGAGAAAACTGCTGCCCACGAAATTCTAAGGAGATTTTCATGTTCTATTGAAACTCATTGTCTCTCTCTCGATTATATTATGTCTTTTAATGTTGTCAAACATATTTAGACGTCTTACTGTCATGCAAAATTTCAGCTCTCTCTAGTTCATACTGTAGTTTAGCTATGAGATTTAGAATGTATAAAAATCGTATATTTTACAGATATGTGGAGAGCGTGATCTTGTTTTTTTTTGAAATTTTTTTCGTTTGAATT